TGTTTATGCTTATATGCATGCATACAAGTCCTTCGGTTGATCTCTTATCTCTCCCACCTGTCCCTATCCTCCCGCTGTAATTTGACAGTCTGATGCTTTACTGTATCTATCTTTTTATTCATCAGTTTATAATGTTATACATAAATGAGTGAGGTCATGTGGTGTTTTTCTTTCATTGACTGGCTTAATTCACTTAGCATAATGTTCTCCAATTCCATCCAGGTTGCTGAAAATTATAACAATTCCCTTTTTATGGCACCATAATATTCCATTTTATAAATGTACCATGGTTTTCTGACCCAATCATCTGCTGAAGGGCACCTAGGCTATTTCCAAATCTTAGCTATTGTAAATTGTGCTGCTATGAACATAGGGGTGCATATATCCTTTCTGATTGGTGTTTCTAGTTTCTTAGGATATATTTCTAGGCGTGGGGTTACTGGGTCAAATGGGAGTTCCATTTTTAGTTTTTTGAGGAAACTCCATACTGTTCTCCACAGTAGTTGCACCAGTCTGCATTCCTACGAGGGTTCCTTTTTCTCCGCATCCTCGCCACCACTTGTCGATTGTTGATTTGTTGATGATAGCCATTCTGACAGGTGTGAGATACCACATTGTCATTTTGATTTGCATCTCTTGGATAATTAGTGATTTAGAGCATGTTTTCATGTGTCTCTTTCCTTCTGTCTTCTTTTGAAAATATTCTATTTAGGTCCATTGCTCATTTTTTAATTGGATCATTTATTATATCTTCCTTTTATTAAGTTGTATAAGCTGTCTGTAGATGTTGGAGATTAAAACTTTATCAGTGATAACATTTGCACACCGTGGGCTTTCTTGTTGTTTTGTTGATGGTTTCTTTTTCTGTAGAAAAGCTTTTTATTTTGATGTAGTCCCATTTGTTTATTTTCTCTTTAGCTTCTATTGCCCTAGGGGAAGTATCAGTGAAGAAGTTCTTCTGGCATATGTCTGAGATTTTGCTGCCTGTGGATGCCCCTAGTATTTTTATGGTTTCCCGTCTTATGTTTAAGTCCTGTATCTATTTTGAGTTTATTTTTGTGTATGGTGTAAATTGGTGATGTAGTTTCATTTTTTTTGCATGTTTCTGTTCAATTTTCCCAACACTATTCATGGAAAAGACTGTCTTGACTCCATTGTATGTTTATGCCTCCTTTGTCAAATATTAATTGAGTATAGAGGTTTGGGTTGATATCCGGATTCTCTATTTTATTTCATTGATCTATATGTCTGTTCTTGTGCCAGTACCAGGTTGTTTGAGGACTGTGGCTTTGTAATACAGCTTGAAATCTGGTATTGAGATCCCTCCTACTTTATTCTTCTTTCTCAGAATTGCTGTGGCTATTCGGGGTCTTTTTTTGTTCCAGATGAATTTTTGGAGAATTCTTTCTAGGTCTGTGAAATATGCCATTGGTAATTTAATGGGGAGTGCAAAAGGAAAATAAATGATCCAATTAAAAAATGGGCAATGTACCTAAATAGAACCTTCTTTTCAAAAGAAGACAGAGGAAGGCCAAGAGACACATGAAAACATGCTCAAAGTCACTAATTATCCAAGAGATGCAAATCAAAACGACAATGTGGTACCATCTCACACCTGTCAGAATGGCCAACATCAACAAATCAACAAACTACAAGTGTTGGTAAGGTTGCGGAGAAAAAGGAACCCCCGTGCACTGCTAGTGGGAATGCAGACTGGTGCAACCACTGTGGAGAAGAGCATGGAGTTTCCTCAAAAAACTGAAAATGGAACTCCCATTTGACCCAGTAACCCCACTCCTAGGAATATATCCTAAGAAACTAGAAACACCAATCAGAAAGGATATATGCACCTCTATGTTCATAGCAGCACAATTTACAATAGCTAAGATTTAGAAACAGCCTAGGTGCCTGTCAGCTAATGACTGGATCCCAAAACTATGGTACATCTACAGAAAAAAGAAGGTGCCATAAAAAAGAAGGAATTGTTATAATTTGCAGCAACCTGGATGGAATTAGAGAACATTATGCTAACTGAAATAAGCCAATCAATGAAAGAAAAATACCACATGATCTCACTCATTTATGGATAATAAAGAACATTATAAACTGATGAACAAATAGATAGATACAGAGACAGTAAAGCATCAAACAGACTGTCAAATTACAGTGGGAGGATAGAGACAGGTGGGGGAGATAAGAGATCAACCGAAGGACTTGTATGCATGCATATAAGCATAACCCGTGGACTCAAAACACAGGGGGCAATGGTAAAATATGTACACATATAATACCTTAATAAAAGAAAAAAAGAGTGAATTCTGTTCTCTGCAACTGAACCTTAACTAATACAGGGAAGAAGTCCTCAAGTGAAAACTGAATTTAGTTGTTAATAAAAATACATCGTAACAAATAACAGAGCAATATCATTAAGTAAACCACTTTTCATGTTTATTAGAATAGATTTATAACACTTATTTTATAAGACAAGAAAAGCTACTTTATAACATATTTAATGTAATATATAAGGTATAATGCTCTGGTTCATTTTGACACAGCCACATAAGACCCATTTGTTCATCAAGGTAGCAACTATAAAACTATGTATTTTGCTTATTTCTCCTACAGACTGAAAAAAAGTTGTTTTAACTTGCATGTACAGTCTTTTTGCAACTAAAAAATTTCTTTAAGTATTCAATGTTAATTAATCTAGGCTACAATACAATATAAGGTAATCTTCAATATTCTGACTTTAAAATATCAAATATTAATAGCATATACTCTTAAGAAAGTATCTTTTTTGTAAATACAATTGACAAAATAGTCAACAAAATATGTGCAATAGTGCCTTTGTATATAAGCATAGAGCCTGTGTCTTTTTAGAGCTACAGAGGTTTAATTTATCAATCATTGCATAATAGCAAATGTGTGATAATTAACATATAAACTATTAGTCAAACTCTAAACTGTGAACATGTTTCAGCAAATCATTTCTGAGAAAAGGAATAGATGTTATCTACCAACTATCTCTTTAAATGATAATTTCCTTGCAAAGATAAGGAAATGACTGACCAAATCATTTTAAAGACACTACTATTAAGTGTTTGGTTAAGTTCAATTTATGAAATTTTCAAAGGGTTCACTTAAAAATTCGTCTTTCTGAAAATAATATATTCTATGGTGACAAAGCCCCTCTATGTTACACCTTAATCACAGTGGATCCTTGTTAAAGGCTGACTATATATACCATTTTTTTTTTTTCACAAAAGAAGACTTCTTGGGTCACCTGAGTCTAAAGGATGTCTATCCTTTCACTATTTCAAATCTAAAAGTCAAAGGGCTTAAAACCAAAGTCTTTTTTGAAGAAAGAAACTCAGTGGAAGATTTTTCCCTACAATTCTGGAGTCAATTGATTAACAAATTGCTCCTATCAGAAGTATAGTTTGGCCAAGACCAGTTTGGCTCAGTGGATACAGCGTCAGCCTGCGGACTGGAAGGTCCTGGGTTCGATTCTTGTCAGGGGCATGTATCTTGGTTGCGGGCACATCCCCGGTGGGGGGTGTGCAGGAGGCGGCTGGACGATGATTCTCCCTCATCGATGTTTCTAGCTTTCTATCCCTCTCCCTTCCTCTCTGTAAAAAATCAATAAAAATATATTTTTTTTTAAAAAAAAAAAGAAGTATAGTTTGATTATTTTTTCTTTAAAGTGCTAATGAAGCCCACTATTTATACATGGATCTTCACTGTAATGACTGATACATAAGCAGCATAAAGTATATAGAAATTTATATCTAAATCATACAGTAAAAACTTTTTAGGTAAATACCAGCAATTCTATACATCAACTTAACAGTCATACACACTAGTATACTTTATGAACTTGCCAGACTAATACAGTCAATCTAATGTAACTTAAAATATGACTGGTGAAAATCCAAAATATAAAGCTAGAATCAAAGCAGTCACAAGCTATTCTGAGACAAATGCCACAAACAGCAGTGCTCAGAAGAATTTCAAGTAATTTTTCAGTTTAACGAGAAACAGTTAAAATTGAACTTTTTCTTAACCCTTCTGAAAAAGCTGGCTTTATCCAGATTAGATCCAAATCCAATATTGTTTTTCTTTATATTAGCCCAGAGTTTTGAGTTATTGATATATTTTTATCAATAACACAGAAGTATGAGTCAGCAGCTTCTGAACTGCTCAGGTAGGAAGAATTAGGAAGTTACTAAAATAAAACATTTATTATTAGAAGACAAGATTAGATTAACTTTTAAAAAGTTAATATCTTTCAGTTAGATAACTTGAAAATGAGCCCCCATACAGTAATCTTATAATTAAGGCTATAAATCTAAGAGCCTGGTTTTCTACAGCATTGTAATAGGACTGTGCCAATTTGGAAAGTAGCATTCATCAGTATAACATATCATCATAATTAATACTCAAACATTAATACCACATTTTCAAAATTATCAGTTATTCATATGGAAATAGCAGCACAAACTAATAATTTCTTTACCAAAAGTGTTACATTGTCGCCCTCTGGTGGTATCATTTAACACTCTCCCCTGATACCTTGTATCTTGTAAAGGTGAAGGTATTAAGAAGTACAAATTGGTAGTTATAAAGTAGTCACAGGGATAGGAAATACAGTCGATAATATAATAACTATATACGGTACTAGGAAGCTACTGGGAATATCAGGGGATCACTGTGCACAGTCCATGATTGTCTAACCACTATGCTATACACCTAAAACTAATATAAAATAATATTGAATGTAAACTTTAATTGAAAAATAAAATTTTTAAAAATTACATTTGTATTGGAGAATATAAAAATTAGAGACTACCACAAAGGAATGATTGTGTTTCAAATATATTTTTCAAACATTCAAACATTTTGGTAACATAATAAATCCCTGATCTCTACTCCCAGAAATCAAGCTGACAACTACAGGAATCTTAGTAAATATGTCTGATAGGCAATTCTTGTTAAGAGATTTACATCTTGTTTCTAGAACTTAACTGAGAGGTTTTTGCATGCTCTAGTTTGGCTTTTACATCTATGGGTTTCTCAAAAAACCTCACCACTGCTGGTTCATTCAACAAAGAAGCAAGAATCTGTTCAAATGCAAATGACCACTGAGGTTCTTCCCTGAGCAAGGAGGGATCTTTCTCCAAGGGGATCTCTGTTTTCCCCTCACTGGGTCCTCTAGAAGCACAAACTATACCAGAGAATCCTTTGGCTGATGATGTAGGGCTATGAAGTGTCCTTCCAACTTCTTCCATTCTGAGCAAAAGGCTGGTTACAACAGCAATGGCTTGATATAACAACTCTTCTTCAGGGTCCCCATGAAATAAGTTATAAAGGGTCTTTGAAAACTGAATAAATTGTGACTAGAAAACACAAATTAGAAATACCACATTTGATATTAGATTTAGCAAATATAAAGAAAACATATACGTAAATAGCCACCTATTTAGAATTTGTACCACATAACATTAACCAAAGAAGTAAAAGAACTTATAATTAATCACCCAAATAAATCTTGCTTCTAGAAAGAGATATCAACCACAGAAAAATTCCATTTAAATCATCTCATTTGTTGCCCAATAGCAATATATTACTTTTAATTAGGCAAAGTCTCATATTTCCCTACATATAAATAATACATTCATTAATAAATCTAAATAAAATAATTAAGATAAGGTCGCTTGATCTACTTAAATGGGCAGAGTGAGCAGTTCAACTAGGATGATTTAAAATTAGGGAAAAACGTTTTGGGATCTATCTAGTAGTACAAGGTTAACTATAAGAAGCCCATTTGGACATGTTTCTCTTTAGAGGCTGAGGTGGGACTCAGGTGGAGAAATCAACTGGTTTGTTTGTCTCTAGATAATCATAGATATTCTCAAAAGATATCTGTCAATTAAAAAAAAGATTCCAGATGAAATGTAGAGAAGATGGCGGCAAAGTGAACACTGGTACGTGCTGTCTCTCACAACCACAGCAGAGCTGCGACTGGGGATCTTATCTGAGACCTGAAAAGACCACAACTGTGGAAACCACCGAGCAGCTGTGTGGCCCTGACCATGCGGACACGCGGATTCCACAAAAAAGGTTGGATTTTGCTGGGGATAACGTGGGGTGTCTGTGTCCAGGCAGCAAAGGCAGCAGGTGCAGAGGCTGCGGCCGCTGTGGCTGCAGAGACAAAAGCGCGCGCACACACTGGGACCTCGGAAATCTATGTCCACAAAAGCCCTCCCTCCCCCCGTTGGGTCTGGCGTGATTCGAGAGAGTGGACGGGGGTCCCCAAAGTTGCTAATAGTGGGGTTCTCTAGGGAGCAACCCATTCTGATCAGACACGGAGGGAGAACATAGGAGTTGGAAAGGTATATAGTCTGTTTGTAAGTGCGTGCAGAATGGCCCATCGTGCACACAGGCTGGTTCTCCCACAACGCTTTGCTTCTGATTACAAAGGAGAGACCATCCAGATTGGCTGTCCCTGAGAGACGGCAGGGGGAAACTGCTTTTCTGGAAGCTGAGAAGCAGAGCAGGGAGAGACCATCTGGGATTCAGCTCCAAGGCAAAATCTGTATGGAGTGCCATAGAAAAAGAAGGCTAGAGCAGCTAAAAAGACGGGGACATCAATCCAGAAGCACTGCCACCTAGGGACTGGACTACAAACTAACTATGTTTATTACTAGTTTTATTTAATAAAAAACCAAGAAACTAAGAAATTGACATCTTAAAAGTAAGCACTAGCTTACAACACTGAGGTGCAGCAGAACGCAGGGAACTGCAATACTGTCTGGATGGAGAAACAGGCTTGCCAAACAGAATAACGAAGGAAGTAAAAGGCCTTCACAACTGCACACTTTTTTTTTTTTGCTATTATTTTTATTTTTATTTTATTTTCATTTTTTGCATCTTTTACTTAAGAAACGATTTTTGTTTCATTTTTTCCTCACTTGATTTTACCTTTTTAATTATTACATTTTTAGGTTCAATCAGCATTATTACTACTGCTATTTTAACTTTTTTGTTTCCTTTTTCTTTTTTTTTAAGTGCTATTTTATTTTCTCTCTATTTTACATTGGAATTACTGTTCTTCATTCTATTTTCATTTCTCCTTTCGCATCGTTTAATCCTATCTCAACACAACCTTTACACCATGACTCTCTTCCTAACCTTTCCCCCTTTGCTATCCTGTTTATCTTAACCCTTTCCTGCTTTAGATTTTCCCTACTCTTTCTCTCTCCCTCCTGCTAAAATTTCTACCCTACTTATATATCTAATTTTCAATCCCCTGTGCCAAGTGCATACACACCCCTCTCTGAGCTGTATTAACTAGCAAAAAAATAAAATAAAATTGTTTTCCTCTCTGTCTTTTTGATGCTGTTTGTGTGAATGTTGATTATATTGTATTTTTTATGCTTTTTAGTGAGATTATTTTGCTTATTCTTTTGTTGTTGCTGTTGCTTGGTATTTTTTTTGTTTGCTTTTTTTTTTTTATTTTTTATTTTTTTTTACTTCTGTTTTCCCTTCCTTTGCTGGATATTAGTGGGTGTTGTAGTTTATATTATTCTCCAGGTACTGTTGCCAGCATTTCCAGGGGTTAGTAGTTGTTCTATTGAAATTATCTCCCCATATATATAGTTTGTTCCCCTTTTTTCTCTTAGTCTCTTTCTTTTCTCTCTCTCTCTCTCTCTCTCTCTCTCTCTCTCTCTCTCTCTCTCTCTCTCTCTCTCTCTCTCTTTTTTCTTCCTGTTTCCCGATTTCATTTTGACATTCCTTTTTTTCCCTTTCTTTTTCTTTTTTTCCTTCCCTCGTCTCCTTTTACTCTTTTTCTTTCTCTCCTATCCCCTAATTTGCCTTTTCTTAGCGGTCACCTTTATTGGAGGTTATTAATATCACAAATACATTTATGTTCAGTGCCTTATGTGTTGTACCTGATTGTGCCATATTTTGTGCCTTTAAATCAATGCAGGAGAGAGAGATCTACATAATCAGACATCCTGAAAAGAGAGACCATGGGGAGACAAAAACAACAACAACAACAAAAAAAACCAGCCCACAAATGAAAGAAAAGCAGGAATCACCAGAAAAGGAAGTAAACTAGTTAGAGGCAAGCATTGTACCAGAGCAAGAATTCAGAGTAATGATCATAAGATGGTAAAAAGAATGGAAGACAAATTTGATAATATGAGTAAGAACCAAGAGTAAATGAAGAAGAACCGAGAGGAAATGAAGATGAACCAAGAAGAAATGAAAAATGACATCGTTACCATGAAGAACTCAATAGAAATTATCAAGAGTAGACTAGACGAAGCAGAGGACCAAATCAGTGAGCTAGAAGACAAAATGGGGAAAAAATACCCAATTAGAGCAGCTTCTAGAAAAAAAAAAAATTAAAAAGCAGGAGGAGAGCCTATGGAAACTTTGGGACAATAGAAAACAAAACAAGACGCGCCTGGAGGGCGGGTCCCCGGCACGCGTGGCTTTTCTGCCCTCGGGCTCAGGAAGTCGGTGCGAGTGACCAGAGGCAGCGGTGGTGGCGAGCGGTTTCCTGTGGCCTCGAAAAATCCTGCAAAAATGTCTCTGTACCCATCTCTTGAGGATCTGAAGGTAGACAAAGTAATTCAGGCTCAAAGTGCCTTTTCTGCAAACCCTGCCAACCCAGCAATTTTGTCTGAAGCATCTGCTCTGATCTCTCAAGATGGAAATCTCTATCCTAAATTGTATCCGGAGCTTTCTCACTACATGGGCCTCAGTTTAAATGGAGAAGAAATAGAGGCAAATATGGCCATTGTCCATGGAGCACCAACTCAGGGGCAGTTGGTAGCAAGACTATATGAACTATATGGTGTGAACTATATGGTGGCTCCTGTAACTGGTAATGATGTTGTCATTCATAGAGCAGAAATTAAGCAAGGGATTCGTGAAGTCATTTGGAAAAATTGGACTCAGGCTTAAATCCGTAGATAATGGCATATTTGTTCAGCTTGTCCAAGCAAATTCTCCAGCCTCATTAGTTGGTCTGAGATTCAGGGACCAAGTGCTGCAGATCAACGGGGAAAACTGTGCAGGCTGGAGCTCTGATAAAGCACACAAGGTGCTCAAGCAGGCTTTTGGAGAGAAGATTACTATGACTATTCGTGACAGGCCCTTTGAACGCACAATTACTATGCATAAAGATAGTACTGGGCATGTTGGTTTTATCTTTAAAAATGGAAAAATAACATCCACAGTAAAAGACAGTTCTGCAGCTAGAACATAACATCTGTGAAATTAATGGACAGAATGTCATTGGATTGAAGGACTCTCAAGTTGCAGACATATTGTCAACATCTGGGACTGTAGTTACTATCACAATTATGCCTGCTTTTATCTTTGAACATATTATTAAACGGATGGCACCAAGCATTATCAAAAGCCTGATGGACTACACCATTCCTGAGGTTTAAAAGACGACACAATGAACGTCTCCAGTTTACTTCTTTGGCAACTTCACTCGATATTATGCACAGGAAGCTTTCTAGGAGCCAGAGAGAATATGCTGCATGAGGTCCTTTCTGTCTACAGTGTAGCTGGGAAGCTAACTGTTTGATCTGATAATTGCTCAGACTTCAAAATAGTTGTAGCCTTATCCTGGTTTTACAGATGTGAAACTCTCAAAATCAAAGGACTTTCATAGATTAGTTTCTCTACTGGAAACCTGATGCTTTTCAAGCCATTATGATTAGAATGACTGATGCAGGCTTAGCTTTGTGTTGGAGCCAGTCACCTTTGTCCTATAAATCAAGTATTGTTGTTACTTTAGTTCTATGGTATATTTGCATTTTTACTGTTATCATAGGACATGTAGAATGATTGCTTTTAGTAGTTGTGTTTTGTTTTTTTAGTTACCTCTGTGTGTAGTGTGTTTCTGTAATCACCAATTAAATAACACTGGTTTCATTCCATATAGAAAGCATTAAAACAGTGTATGCAAGTTGTATTAAATTTTAACTACCTTCACTTGCTTGAATTGCTGCCTTAACTTCAGCATCTAGAAGAAAAGCCAAAACATAATTATTGCTGCCTTTCTACATCCATAATGCAGTTCTATATTAAACTGAAATGTACCTTAGCCCAGAACAAAAGCTATGTGTGTGTGTGTGTGTGTGTGTGTGTGTGTGTGTATATATATATATATATATATATATATAGCATAGCTGCTTAGTTGCAATTGAGATTTTCTAGTCATAGTAAATGTGTAATGCAACTACTCATAGTTCCTGGTATCATTTTCTGATAAATGAATTACTATATATTGTAAAAATTCTTATGCTAAGTAGAATAAATTTTTGACTTTTTTTTCATTCATAGATTATATAACTTAACTGCTTTAGGA